TGATATTTTTGTTTTTGAAAACCCTGACATACACCAACAGACACACATAGTGAACAGAAAATCTATTAAAGATTATAGAGAAATGCCTACTGTATGACAAATAAGGCAATACATTATCTAATTTAACTTATACCAAATGCATTTTATTTTTCTCAGAAAGTTCAACTTAAACTCAAATTAGAAAAAAAATATTAAATATATACTAATAATTAAGAGTAGGAACTAAGATAGAGCAGAAAACATTTTTAGTTTCTGGGAGAAATTAATAAAAGCAAACAAAATTTCATTAGATCAGTCCCTCTTCTTTAATCTCCTAAACATGAAAAATAACGCCCACATTTTAACTTCATTATCTTCATTATCACTGAAAACATCTAGTGAACAAAATAAATGTAAATTATAAATGATTAAAAGCAATGCTTTTTTTATAGGGTCCATTTTGTAATTAACATAAATTAAGAACGATAAAAAATATCTGAGGAAAAAGAGATTCTTGCATTGTTGGTAAAAATTAACTTGGTTTAAATTTCCAGAGATAAAAAGCTAATTTCTTTTTTTTTATTATAAATATACACTTGTTTACACATATATAGACATAGAGAGTTTGCCATAATATACAAGGTAGATAGGTCACTTATCAAGACATTAACAGCTGGTTATTGTGTACGTTTTTGTAAATACATTTTCAGTGTGGGCGAAGGTCCAGACAATCTGGAATCTGGTTGATTATCTAGGATTATGGCAGCCTGTTCCATAGCAACCAATTCCAAAAAGTCTTTGTTCCAATTCTGTACATCAAAACAATTATAGTTCCTTTCCTTCCAGTTCAGAATATTCTAAATATATCTCCCTAAATCTAAAGATCAACCACAGCTGATTGCTGACCAAAACCTGATATTTTGACTGTTTTACAGATAAATATTATTATAGTATCATCCTGGTGAGCCCCGTCCATCCTGTGACTGAGGGAGATCCTGTTACTCTGAGCTGCAGAGATAAAGAACAAAAACTTCTCTCCAATGTGTTTTTCTATCACAATAACAAACTGATCCACAATGACAGCAGAGAGGAGCTGAAGATCTCTGCAGTGTCAAAGTCAGATGAAGGTTTCTACAAGTGTGAACATTCAGGAAAGGAGTCACCACAGAGCTGGATGGCTGTTAGAGGTGAGAGGATGAAAACATTTGATGGATTTTATGGTGTTAGTGAAAACAGAATGTTTATGTGAACATGTCTCACAATCTGCAGATAAATAAAACCCATTTCATTTCCATTTTCCTTATTTCCAGTAACTTCATCCAGTCCTGTCAGCTCTTTTTCTGTGCTGCTGATTGTTGGACCAGTTTTTGGAATCATTCTCCTTATTCTCCCACTTATGTTGTGGCGCTGCCGACGTTCCAAAGGTCAGATCATATTCTGTCAGATTATACATTTAATATTCTTTAAATAAATGCAGTTGTCGTAACTTAAGTTTGATTTGAACTATTAAAGATAGAAATTAATAACAGATGTCTTTTTCACAGATTCAAATTCTTCCAGGTCTGTACCCCACTCCAGCTTTCGTCTATATTAATATAAATAGCATTAATAAAGTATACTGTATATAATCCCTGTAATTGGTTGTTATAAATTGTATTTGTATCTTGTGTTTCAGATCATATAGAACCAATCAGAAGTCCTCCACAAATCACGGAGCAGAGACTAATGACCATAGCTCTGCTACGAAGGGTAGGAAGTTAAATAAGTATTTTCAATATGCATAAAGATATAAACATATCTTTATCTCTTTTTTGAATAAACTAACTTAGTTAACATGTGAATATCAAGAAAAACAACCAAAAAAGCTACAGTGAAAAACAATATATTGTAGTGAAATAAATATGGAATCCAATTTAAATACAAAAAATGTTCTACTTGTTATATTTTTGCTTTTGAGTGATTTCGCTTCATAAATGTATGGCAAAATACTGAAAAGTACAACAAATGTTAACTTTATTATCTTTAATGCTATATATATAGTGTTTTATGGTCCATTGAAATAAATGATTAACCCTGTAAAGTTTTCCTTTTTACTATAGATGATGTCCTCTATGCATCAGTCAACCCAGGAGCCACTGGATCTGGTAAAGTATATCTATTTAAATCAGTAACAGTCTCAATAACTGGTTATAAAACAAAACAAACAAACAAAAAAACGAATCTAATTGCTCTAAAACCATTTCTGCTGCAGAGGAACCCACAGAAATAACATACTCCATTATTCCATTAAAAAAACTCAGAAAAAAGAGTAAGTTCTAAACAAACCTCCTACGAGAAAATAACTCAGTGATTTCAGACTTTATGATTTTGTGTTGTTGATGATCTGATATTCTCAACAGACAGACATTGTGAACCAGAGGATGGTGTTATTTACTCTGAAGTGAAACCAGGAGTTGCAGGTACAGTCAGTCTTTACATATCTATCTATATTGGTTCTATGCACTATACTACCTACAAAATGACTGTTTTTGAAATACGGGAGAACAACAATATAAAATAATTTTATCTATTTACTTTTACTTTAACATATTTTACTATTTTACTATAGCTAAAAAATATAAATGGAGCAACTAGAGGTTGCACAAAATGATCCTTGCAAATAATTTTGGTTAAATTTCTCCTGGCAAAGACAACAATGACCTTGAAGGGGTGTAAAGAAGTTATGATTTGTAGTTGTAGTATTCTACATTATATAACATCACTCTGCTTTGTTTCCTGCTGTAGAGTTAGTTTACTTTAGGTTGACTACGTTTTTTGGTTGAAACTATGAATTACGAATTACTTAAAATCTCTATTTATTTCCTAAATGACTTATAAAATCTGTCTTACCTTACGTTACCTATCAAAACTCATGGACAACAATGTTTTTCATTTAAGTGTTAATATGATCTATAATGCACCATGTGAGCTTTAGACATGACAATATTATTATCCAACATTGAACAGATGCCATTGATTGTAACTGCAACCTACTGTGTTTTGGCCACACCTATTGCCAAATAGTCTGCCTATTACTGCACGTCTTAATCTGATGTTGAGCTGAGCAAGGTCCCATCACCTTCATATACTTAACTTTCTTTTCATGGATTCAACTTCAATACCTTAAATTATCAAAGATATTTTTTCTGGCAGTTCACAATTCTTATCTGAAATTAGTATAAACAACTGGTCAGTTCACTTTATTTTTTTTAGTACACTGAATGTTAGGCGTTACAGTGTAGGATGCTTTTGAGTGACAATGGTGGACAGATGGGGCTTTTTCAGCTGTGCATTTCTTTGTGACTCACTTTTTTAGTGTTGCTTTACATTGTGCTCCTCTAGTATCAAAATTATCTATAGCTATTGGATAACTTCACCAAAAATCTCTCTGAAAATCCCCTTTCACTGCCTCACCCAGTTATGAAGTGTGCCACAGTCTTTGTTGTTACTGTGTTTACTTTTTGTATTAAAAGCCTTTACCTTGTTTTAAGAGAATTTTCTGCAGGTTATTTATGACATAGGGAATTGAAGCAGCCCAGATTTCTTGGCATCTAAGAAAACTCCTGTCATTATTATTATTTGACCTGGTCAAATGCTTGACATTGCTTTCTTTTGTCTGATGGTCGGAGAGAAGGGAAAAATACGGGACTGTTCCGCACAAATCTGGATTTTCTATTTACCGTACAACCAACAGAGGGCAGCACTGTGGCTGAATGCTACAAAATAAAAATAAAAATGTCAAAATGCACTGTTACATAAAGATTGCATCCTTTTGGTCAAATTTATAAAATTTAAATGGGTCAATTTGTGGTTTAGTTACTCTTTAAATCCCACATCTGGTGTGATTAAATCCATTTTCTGTTTCAGAACCCACTCCATTGTATGCTGAAATCAACCACAAGAATAAACCTAAGAAAAAGAAAAAGAAAGGTAGAGTATGCATTCACCTTTTTTTCCAATGTCCAGTGTATTTATTAGTGTTGCACCGATGCCTTTTTTTGGCCCTGATACCGATGCCCGATACCTGGCTGTGTAGTATTGGCCAATACCAATACCATACCAATACCATCTGTTTAAAATTGATGCAGTATCGGGGCCCCGCCCGATACTGCTATCGGTGTAACACTAGTATTTATTGAAATAACTGTAGGCATGGAATTTATTGAATACAGTATTGTTACCAGAACTACCTTTTCTAGTTCTCCATTTAGCTTGATTTATTTATATTACAAATGGGTTTTCTATTTATGTGATCATTATATGGTACAAGTTGTGTATATGGGCGTGTTCTAGTAAGTATGACATTAGAGATGAGAGTCCTGATTGTTGATTTATCATTCATATAATTTATATATCTATATAATTTACATATATTGTTTCACACAAATTTTCTCCTTTCACAGACAAGAAGAGCCCTGCAGCAACAGAAGAAACTGTTTATTCTGAGATACAATCATGAACAGCTCTGGATAATGAATCTGCCCTGTAGGCTGCCTGTTCTGCTAGATTTGTCTGCATTGTTGGGCTTTAGTTACAACATCAGAAGACAGACTAAGGATCAACATTGTTTTTAAGCTCAAGCTTCTTGCTTTTGATGCTTATGATTGGTAACTGCACGCACATGATCCAAAAGAAACTGCAAAACCAGAAGTTAAACATTGGTGAATTTTCATACTTGATATTATACATTTACAGCCTGTCTTTCCTGTTTTAAATAAAAATAATGCAACATTATTAGAACAAGCATCTTTTAGATATGAAATATGTACACATGCTAGTATTGTTTTGTACGGTGGACTTTATTAATATTTTTACTATTCTTCTTTAAAGTAATGTTTTTGTTGTTCCACACTTCTTAAATGCAGGTTCACTATTTAATCTATAAAAAGAGACTTCAAAGATATAATATAATTTAGAACTAAAACAAGCAAAATAATCTTTCTTCTCTGAGATTATCAACAACACATTATCAATGCTCGTGCCTTTTTAGCCACAGGCACAGCTGAAAGGTTAACAAACCCTCTTATCTCTGTGCCCATGAATGACTTTGCAAACTTCTTTGCTTAGAAAGTTACCCTATCCTATCTTTGCCCGTAACAATGGCAGCTATATTTGCATGATCAGTGGTTAACAGGTAGTTTTAATATGTATAAGTGATAAGGGAGAACGCCCACCTGAAAACTTGTGTTTGTTGTGAATCTGTGCAGTCAGTTCCTCAAGATTACAATCCTGACTTCAAATATTATTTCTCTGTCGGATCCGCTCAGTCCCTGGTAAATCGATGGTGGGCTGTCACTAGGAATCCCATTCATCAGGAGCCTCTGGCCCTGTCGCCTCTTCACTTTTTGCGGTGGCTGGAAGTAGATGTTAGTGTTTTTCATGTACAGGCAGTAGAAAAATTAAATTGAACATATTATGTCAGAAGAAGCAGCATTTAGTTCCTATGCTCCACTTCTCTACAGTAGAATAAACTTCTAGTAGACTATAAATGAGCTGAAGGTCTGTGTTAATTTAAGTTAAAAAAACCAAATAACAAACACAAAAAAACATTTGTTTATAAATGTATGTGACTGCTGTTGAAATTAACTGTTAACTGGAGTTTCATTAGCTTACGTTTGTGATCCAACTTTTCTATGTATCATGCTTTTTTTTTTCTTCTATTTTATTGTTTAATTCTTATAAATAATTGTTTTTGCACTGAATTATTCTACTGTATACAAATAAAGTTGCCTTGCCTTGCAAACAAACATCAAAGCCAGGACTAATGTGTTACTGGATATAGATGAAAACATAGATAGTGTTGTTGCTTAGATTAATAAAAACAGCATTACTAACTTTTTATTAACATGTTACATTTTAGTAACGGTATTTCTTTCTATCAAGATAGAGGAGAAACAGTGGATAAAGGAATTGGAATTTCTCTTCTATTATATATTAATTTATCCTATTTACTCATTATAAAAGTGTTCACTCAGTCTGTTTCACTTTCAAGGCCAGACAATTCTCTGCAGGATGGTGTTTGTAGACCAGACATTGCTTCTTCCCATAACAAACCAGATTCTTTCTCAAGGTTTATTCATAACATGTTACTGTTCAACTAAAGTGTCTGTAATTTGTTTTGACTTTGACTACTTTTCCATTGTTGTAAGCAAGGGGGAAAGAACGTATCTCTAGCAGAACAGGGCAGAATGCTGTGCTTTAAGGGCTGTATGATGAACTGTTCTCTCTTTGCAAAGATATGAATAAGTGTGCCGACTAGTGGCGAGTCAAATTATTTAGCAGTCTAGGCTTCCAGAAAATTGAAACTCACTGGTTTGTAACAGCCCTATTATCCAACAAACACCTTAAGATGCACCTGTTTATGCAGAGTGTTTCTGCATAGGACCTTTTTGTTTTGTTTTGATAAATTATATTACATGATAGAATATGTTGGATGAAGCAAAAACATAATCAGGAGTCAACCTGTGGATTTAGTTTAATGAAGCATATTAAAACAGAATCCAGAAAGTGGCATAAATGGACCACCATTGCAGAAGTGAGAAGGAAAGACGTGAAAAAGAGCTAAAATTTATTTAAAAAAATATTCTAGTGACATTTCATAAGATTTTTTATTTAAAGATATTAATCATAAAAGGATTATACTATTATAGCACAGTAAAAAACAGCGTAGTTAAAGAGTTAAATGAATTTATACTGTATCGGAAGCCTCAGCACACATGTCCAAAATGTGAATCTTTTAAGGTGAACAAAAACTTATGTCTGAAAGGTGTAGCGTCTCATTTCCTCAAGATCCTTGCTCTGTCCAGTGTAGGACTCTATAGTGGTATAGTGGAGAATGTTATTTTACCAGGTGGATCATCTAAATAAGTGGTCCTCCTACTTGTCAGTCATTCTGGTGATTATGCTTACGTAAAGTAGTCCCAATTTTCATTTACCAGTGGTGAGTCTGACATATGGAAAAAATAAAAATCTTTTGGAAAGTAAGCTTGCATGAGGAATATAAAAAGTAACTTTTAAACAGGGCATACTAGAGGAGAAATGGGCTTGTGCATGCTTTCGCACTCGTTCAATAGGCGTTCCCTCTAGGGAGTGGGTACAGGGTTGTGCATGTGCATTTTTTTTGTAAAGGGGAGAGAGGGCAGGTCTTTTCACCAATTTGCAAAAATCCTCTACGATGACCATTTCATAACCCTATATCATGTGGGAGAACCTGAGGGGTGTTCAAATACTTTTTTCCCTCACTGTATATATAACCCCTCTCCCACACACAAACACTCACATACATTTACTTACTAACACTAGGACGCACAAATGTCTACATGGCAATGTGTCATGGTTTTATCTAAAGCTCGGACCCACATGCAGAAAAAACAATTCAGAGAGACCAGGGGAAAAGGTTTAACAAGTTTTATTGAAGAGATAAAGCACGGTGCAGTGTTGCTCTGAGCTCTGCTCTGTAACTCGGCGGTTTAATTCGGTCTTTTGGTTTACCACCTCAACCAGGGTGTTATCATGTCTAGACAAGGCAGTTTGCTGCTGGTAAATGGCTCTCTGAATGGCTTCTGCGCGGTCAGCAGCTTGGCCAGAGTTTTTCTTTCTTGGTTTTATCTAAAGCTCGGACCCACATGCAGAGAAACCAATTCAGAGAGACCAGGGGAAAAGGTTTAACAGGTTTTATTGAAGAGATAAAGCCCGGTGCAGTGTTGCTCTGAACTCTGCTCAGGTGGAACTGGAAGGTGAGGGGAAGACACAGCGATTAGTTCAGGCTCAGTGGGAAATTTCATTCGTGGATTTGGAGAAGAGGATCTGGTTGAAGACTCACGTTTCCAGAGAAGTTGTAAAATCTTTGACTCCAATCTGTATGCTGTATTCCAGTGTTAGTCTGATTCGGTGGAGGGCGGAACAGGGTTTACCCAGAACATGGTCAGTTGTTGGTGAACGGAGAAACTGACTGCCATTCAGATTTCCTGCGGTACTTGAACGGGTCGTAGTCGAGATGATTCCCTTGCTCAGTGTGTAAACTCAACGTCCTCTCTGGGAAACTGGGTTGAAACCTCCAGTTTGAATCCCCAGCTCAGTTTGAGGCTCAGTTGAACCCTCCAGGGAGTGAAGGTCCAAAAGATCCAGTTTGCTGGATGACTTCCTGCAAAGACAAAGACAAAAAACAAAGTTTAAACTCAGGTTGACAAGAACTCAGGTTTACTCAGCAAAAACACAGCTTGGCTAGAGTACCCAAAACTGGCAAACACTCTGACGTCGAGGTAGTGGCAATCAGCAGCTTAAGAGCACTCCGTTATCAAGGTAACTATCAGCAGGTGTGTGAGGAGGCGGACCAGAACCAGGTGCCTCCTGTTGGAGGAAGGGAGACAAATAACACACAGACTGTAGCCCTGACAGAATGATGTTCTCTCATACACTAACATTCAATGCTACTAAGTCTGAAGAGGGAATATCAGTGCAGAGCTGCTTATTCTTAGAGATTAAAGAACTTTAATCATTTACAATGGGGAGAGGATAAGAGTAAACTGAAAGTGCAATTATAAGTTTAGATGAAGCTAAAACTCAATATGCTGGGATGTAAAAATAGTGTTAAAATTTTTCTTTAGGTTGTCCATGAATTAAATGTTACAATGTGTTAAAAAGGGTTAAATGCTTTCTAAATATCTACAGGTTCCTTAAATGAGATTACATTAGTTGCAGTAATTTGAGTTTATATGAACAAAATAATTAGCTGAAACATCCATAGGATGTTCAGGCACAATACATTCTGTTATACAGTAGAAAGCCTTCAACTGCCAGGCATTGAAAGATAAGATATGTTAAATGTTTTTTGAAGAGACTAAAACAATCTGCTGACTAAACATTCGCTCTACAGATCATTTAAATGTAATAAATTTAATGATGACTTTAGTGATAAAGTGAAAGTAAGTGTGGATAACAATATGTGGTTGTGACTGCACTTAGGTTTTGAGTTAATAACGAATTACTCATTAAAGACACTGCTTAGTCTGATAAGAACATTAATTACACTCTATTGTGCGGGAGAGAACCACCACATGGATTCAGCATCTACACTTCCATCGGCAGTGTTGGGAAAGTTCTCTTTCTACGTGAACTAGTTCAAAGTTCAGTTCACACATTTACCTCCGTAGACCCCCTAGGGGTCGCGGATCCCCTGTTGAAGACCTCCGCTCAAGNCTACTGTTCATGAGTGTGTAGCAACATTGTTTTACATCTATTAAATTCTATTTTTTAATTTTGTATTCTGAAGATAAAATGGCCACATGCACATCTCTAGCACTAAAAGTGCTGACCTTTCTAGGAAAACCTGGCTTTTTCATTTGGTGGCTTAGACTTGATGTCTACTCAACTTGAAAATATTTGACCAGCTTGACAGAAGCATATATCGGATACTGTAACATCATTTACACTGAAACTCACTTTTTTAAGGAAAAGTGTCACTTTCCAAGTAAAATTGTCACTATCATGGAAAAAGCTGAAGGCTGGAATAAAATT